AAATGAGCCAGAGATCCACGGGTAGCAGATAAGAAGCCCTCAATTCACAATTAAAGAATCTCAACTCCAGATTCCGGGGGATCTAGAAAGAACCTCTTCCTCTCGTCAGGTGTCTCTTCAATACTAGAAGGTGGGGGGAATATACTTAGCTTTATTATAACTTGGATTTCATTGTTTTCTATTTTTAAGTTAATAACATAGGAGTTTTTCAATGTATTTATCTTTAAAATTACCTAAAGAATTTTCCACTTACAGTTAATACAAGGGTTTTTAATATAAAATTATATATTTTTAAATGAGTATATATTGCAAAAGTATAATTTTCATAAAATTAAAAACATGACTCTCAGACAAGTGTAGAAATCAAAGAATTTATTCAATCAGTGAAAGAACTGGTACAATTGTAAAACTGGTTCAAGGCGTATTTTGAGGACAAGGTATTTCTTGGCCACCAGGAAAGACCGTTTGAACTAAGCATGCTGAATTAAAGACAAAAGTGATTAATGTCATATGGGGTAGTAAAACTTCCTATTTCCAGGTTTTAAATCATTTTTCTTAACAATCTAAAGAAAAGATTTAATGGAAAACGGATAAGATATGGTGAAAGAGAAGGTAAAAACCATGAAACAACCACAAAAGGGGAATACTGTTCAAACAAGAACCTAGACAGCGAGCATTCTGTGTGCTCAGTGAAGTGGATCCATGAGTCGCGGGGTTAGTTTGCACGCACACACGTGAGGTGGTGAAATTTGAGGGGCTTCCCAGAACCTAAGCCTGAAGAGAGAAGCCAAGAGGCTTTTGAAGACGTAATATCAGCTCTGCTCTAGCACAAAGATAAATGGAAGATTAAGACTCACAAGGTCTACACCACGGAATATAGATGCAATGAAAGCAGTCCGGGAAATAACTCTACTTTATGTATAATTAAATGCTTTCCTCAACAACAATAAAAAGCTCAGAAAAGCATTTTGCAGCTTTAATAAATATAACCTCCAAGAAAAACTCATTGCAAAGTGTACACATAGGTAATGGGTAAGTCAGACAAAGCTCTACCATTAGTGATGACTTTAATCATTCTTTCTGGAATTACTTAGGCAGTTGGTCCACCTGTCTAAAAATATCACTCTGTGGTGCGATGGATCACTTTTGTGTGGCCCTTATAGCCGTGGTTTTGTAACTCCCACCCAAGTGATTGGGCAGGACTGTGTGATAGGGTAATTGTGGCCCACAAAAGAGATTGGTCAGCTTTGCCATTCCGCTGGTCTTGAAATGAGCCATCCCAGAGGAAGGAGGGAGAAGATCCCACCGCCACCAAGGAAGAAACAGCCAAGAGCCCTCACATCCTTTCGACCTGGGATCCCTGCATGGAGAAACTCCTGCACCTAGGAGACAGAGAGCAAGCTGTAACCCTGAGGACGGTGAGAAGCAGTGGCAGGAGAGACCCAGCAGCAGAGAGGAGGAAACAGGAGACAGCACAGTGGGCTTCCTGGCCCACAGAGAGAGAAAGCTGAGCACCTTTGGGCAGGGGCATAGGTCCAGGGAGAGGCATGCCTGTGAGCAAGGCTGGGAAGAGTCTGTCCTGACAGAAGAACTGTATCCTTGAGTGTTCCTGAGACTGAATTTTCAACTGTTACTACCCTAATAAACCCCATAATAGTGAGTATTGTCTGTGAGTTCTGTGTGGCCATTGCAATGAATTATCGAACCCAGCAGAGAAATAGAGAGTGCTGTGGGAGGGATGGTTTGTGTTAGAAATGGTAGAGATGGCAGAGAGAGGAAGCATGTCTGACCTCCGCCTCATAGGAATCAGCCTTGGGCTGTAGATTTTCTTCTTTTAATCTACCTTGTTTTTTCTTGTGCTTTAGATGAAAGCTTACAGAGCAAATTAGTTTCTCATTAAACAATTAACAAACATACTGTTTTGTGACCTTGACTGCCAACCCCACGACGTGTCCACACTCTCCCCTTCTTGACCTTGGGCTCGCCATTATCAGCTTTCCTGTTTCCTCCTGTCTTTCTGTCCTTGCCTCTGG